GATTACGAGGTACCGAAACATGTAACCGTTCACGGGTAGCTGAAAGGGCAAGAGGTGGAAGGTAAGTCGTGCAAAGGATGGGAAATGAGGGCTGAAATTGACTCGCCTGTGGAATGGGTTTCTGTTGAAGGAGATTGTCGTAAATCTGAGTGAGATTGAAGGCCTGTGGATAGGCAAAGTAAACGTTGGGATGATGGGGTCGAAGCCAGTGGTCGTCGGGGATCTTGACGAGGTCTGCATATGTGAGAGTAGTGGAGCTCGCATTCCTCCCAAGAACGAGATTGCTCTCCACTGTCGCAAGGTTTGCCACCGCGCTGTCTGAACTGATGATGGCATCGAGTTGCAACTCGTAAGGCTGTCGCGAGTTGCCCAGCTTCATAGGCCACACAATTTGCGCCGAGGGCGTTGGAGCCGGCTGGGTCCGAGTGAACCAGACAATGGGTCGCATTCTCGGACGCAAGGGTAAGATGTGAAGGAGCAGGCCCACAGTGAGTAGGGTGAAGAGGGTGTAGAATGTATATGGAGCAAGTTTAAAGTACCTAATGCGCATTTTGCTGCGGATTGCCGTCAGTTCTCACAGGCTTATATATCTCCGGTGAGTGAGGGCTCTCCACAACTCGCTGTCTAATGCTACACCTTAACCATGATTCCATGAGCTTTGATGAAGCCTAAAATACTTAGTATGGGGGCGATGTCACGCTAAGAGATATCGTGTGACTTATTTAGCCTAAATGAGCAACGCCTATGTGACGCCATGAGTGTTTCAGCGAAGCAACAGAGCATAATAACGCGCAAATGCGATTTGATTTTCAGCATTCACTTCGATTGGGCAAAGGAGGCTGCCGCTTTAATGAAATTACAAAGGAATTATTGAAGACAGTATATGTGTTTCCTTTAGAATTGCAATTAATCAAATGTATTTTGTTACATTTACCAAAACACGTAAGTTGGAACATACTGATGAACACACATTTACTAAAACGCGCGTATGTTCAATCACACTTAAGAAATCTCGCTTAATCGAACATAGGTTTGATTAAACATACTTATGAAAACGCATTTGCTAAAACTTTCCTATGTTCGAACATACCTGCAAACACGCATTTACGGGAACATTCGTTTGAATGAACATACCCATGAACACACATTCTTAAACATACATATGTTTGAACATACTTATATAGGACGAGGCTCGTAGACCCTCTCTTCCCTGGTCCTCATACTCAGAGGGCACCCGGGTTGAATCAGCTTCGTCATGTTTATTGTGATGAGTAAGTGGGGAAAGGAAGCACAAGCCTAAGGAGTGTAGAAATCGAAAATTCCTCCCGGTCGCAGGACGATGACTCCTCAGTCATGAGGTTCGATTCGTATGCTCGCCTCCCCTCTGGAAGGCATATTCAAACAACATAAGTATTACATAGCCCCCTCGTCCTTCCAGCACCGTCCTCCGTGTTGCCACTTATGAGCTCCTTCCAAAGTTGCCATGCAGTGGCTTCATGTCTTCCGTAAGGACGTAAACCTCGTCTTCATATCCAACCGGTGGTGTCCCTTTGTAGGGTCGCATCCTGTTGTGGTGAAGGGTTACCGGCTGGGTGTGCAGTTGTGCGTTGTAGGTGGGAACGCTTTCATTACTCGAAATGGGTCCTTGCTCCTTGGGTGATGGAACTTGCGGGGTATTGCAGATGGGGCAACTGGCCTGTAAATTTGCGCTAAGTCTCCTTCTCGATAGACGTTCTTCTGGCTGTGTTGGTTGTAATATCACTTCTGCCTGATATAAGGCAGTCGCAAATGTTTGCGTGCGATGTTAAAAGATTTTCTCAAGCCTTTCAGACGCAGTATGTACTCTGAAACGTTGTTGGCTGCTTCATCGTTGTTTGGCGGGAAGATGTCAGAAGGCACTCTTATTTCAAGACCTGTAGCATCTTGGACGGAGAAACGCCCTTTGACGTATGGACAGTAGCCCTATATGCGAGAAGGACAAGTCCTAGGCTTACATCCAAGTCATCTGGTTGTGCGTCTTTAATGAGGGCCTGTAGTAGTCCTATTTGATTGCGATTCGTTCTTTCCACCTGCATATCACCTTGCCGATGTCCAGGTGTCGTATCTTTGAGATCTGGCAGGTCTTACATAGTTCAGTAAAGAGTCGACTCTCGAAGTTGGGGCCTTGATCGCTATGAACGGATTCAGGCACTCCATACTGGCAAATCTATTGATTGAAGAAAACTGAAGCAACCGTTTTAGCGTCATGTGACTTCATGGGTTCTGCCTCGGCTGCTTCCGTGAAGTAGTCTACCATAACCAAAATATATCGGTTTCCTATCTTGGTACGTGGTAGAGAACCCATAATGTCCATACCTGCTCTTTCCCCTGGTAAACAGGTAAGCATGGGTTGTGAAGGTGCGATGGCTGTGGGGTGAGGCCTTTTGAAGCTGTTGTAAGTGGCATAGGTTCAGCAGAAATCTAGTACATCATCTGAGTGAGCGAAGGCCACCAGTATCATTGGCTCGAGGCACCTAGCAGGTTCTTTTAGCCCTCGCAGCCGAGTTTATGGCGTAACTCTTGAAGAGCTGTTTGCACTACTGAACCAACGTATCGCACCATTGAGCAATGTCGGTATCGTGGGTGATGTCGACGTCGAGTGAAAAATAGGTGCTTTTGTAAAGGCAGGAAAAATGAGTCTTTTTATAGTGTGATGCGCAGGGATGAAAACTCTTACTGTTTTCACGTGAAATACTTTGCCCTATTGAAGCAGATACAAAGCAGTTGAAAAAAAAACAAGAAGATTTGGCGGATGAATGGATGAGAGATGGACGGATGTCGATCATACAACTTTGGTTGCCACTTTACTGCCCTGTAAACAAGCAATCCCTGATCTTTATGGGTGTTAACACTTCATGACTATCGCAGTTTGCAGGTAACGCACGCATACTCATGCGTGTAGGCTGAACTGAAACCAAATTCCATTGTGTATTTTTGCGGGGAAAAGGGGCAAATTGGCCAAAATTCCTCTTGAAGTTAAAAGAACAGGTGCCCGCTTTCCTTGATAGTCTTCCGGTTACAGGTACAGTAGATATGTTGGAGCAGATCAGAAGATGTCTAAATTAATCTTTTCGATCCTTTGAGGTAACTAAGCTGAGCGAGCTCGAGTCAAGTAGGTGGCAATTCACCGTCAAGTGCAAATTGACATGCTTCAGAGATAATTTTAGATGCCTTTCTGGTAGGGCGTAGAGATGTTACTTTTACACCAGTGAGTACAGGTGGAGTGACTCACTGATCTGCCACCCACTCCAAAAATGGCTGCTTTATTGATACAGGTAAAGCAAGAAAGACAAAGAAAAATCCCCTTACATGATTTCTGTGAGGCGTACTTTTACAAGGCGAATTTACAGGGAGGTATTCTTGTCAATCGAAGTCTTTATGTTCACACTAAAACTCCAGTGTGCAAGGCTTTGACCTAAATCCCGACTAAAGGAAGCGTTTGGAGGCGTTGGAAAATGTCTGCCTTTCTTAGCCTTATCTGCTAGGACGAACTTCGTTCCTCTTATCTTACTGTTGTACAATGTTAAGTGCCTTTAATATCGGAGTAAACTGCCATAAGGCCATAACAATGAGAGGTAGTTCGCTTCACTTGAGGCGATCCTTGTCCACAGGAGACCAGAAAAGGAGTTAGAATAGCATCATTTAGTATCATTTTCTAAGAAGAAAATTACTTACCACAGCCATGATTTTTGCCGTACAAATTTGATTAAATTTATTGTTCTGTAACCAAAAAAGCCGCGAACTGTCAAAAAAGCACATCTCATATGTGTGACACTGATCATGCAAGAATCTACCAAAGAAACTCGATCAGGATTGTGTTTTTGTTGCCCTATTCCGTCACCTTCAGTCGCATTAGAGCTGGACCTAAGACCATATCCCCATAAATAGGCTACTTTTCCTTCAATTCCTTTCTAAGTGATTGTAGCACCACGGCCTTAAGGCGACAAGTCTCAGACGTCTAGAAAGCATAGTATTCTGCCTTGAGAGCTGTACAGCAAATTCAATATGTTTGTAGAAAAGGGTCATTTTGCTCCTTTTTTT